TCACCTACCCATCTATTCCCACTCACCTACCCATCTATTCACACTCACCTACCCATCTATTCCCACTCACCTACCCATCTATTCACACTCACCTACCCACCCATACCCACTCACCTACCCACCCATACCCACTCACCTACCCATCTATTCCCACTCACCTACCCATCTATTCCCACTCACATACCCATCCGTGGCCTCCTCACACTTCGATGCCGGTAACCACAATAATAGCAGCAAAAGAAATAGTCCCAAATTTTCATATCCTGAACATCCACAGTAGAGGGTTTCTTTTGTTGATGTTGTTGTTGGGTAAGATCGGGTCAACGCATAAATGTTGCGTCGTAAGAACCAGCCACCACCCGACACAGCCAACCAGCAAAGGGTTCTAGATTTGAAGCTTTCGTGACTGCAAGGATTCATATTCCACCATTGGTACCTCATTTGCCAGTAAAAAAATATGATGATTGGTTTTTTACCCTTTTATCTGGCAACAAAACTGACACCTTTTTTTACAAGGAGTCATGTTTGCATAGACAACAATACCTGCGGTCATAATGCAAACAAAAAACATAACTCTGATAATGTATGCACTGTCGAATTATCAGGATTCATATTCTTAGGTTTTTTCGGTAAAGTCACGTAGGTAAAAAATTAAAATTAATAAAAGTAAAAATAAAATAAAAATCACGACGTTTCGGAGGCAACACAAGCTTCCGTCTTCAGGTGGAATCGTCAGAGCAATCGTGCTGTGACGATTTTTATTTTATTTTTACTTTTATTAATTTAAATTTTTTTCCTACGTGACTTTACCGAAAAAACCTAAGAATACAGCAAGGGGTTATAATAGGGGTTTTCCCCTTTTTCCAACAAAACTGGAACCTTTTAACGAGGATTCACGTCTGAATTAACCACAATACTTGCAGTCAAAATGCAAAAAAAAAACACACACTCTGATAATAAATGCATTGTCCTTGAAACTGATTGGTCCACACCAATGGGACGGCTTTCTTTTGTGCCTCGACCCAAATTTGTGCTCGACCAGAGGACGCAAAAAGGCGTACACAGTGAGATCTCTTTTAGCAGTGGCAAAATATAGCAGTAGGTTTTTACCCTTTTAAACTGGTACAAAACTGACACCTTTATTCAAGGCATCATGTTTGCAATAACCACAACACAAGTAGTCAAAAAGGCAAACAAAAAGAAGCAACTCTGATAATGATAATAATATGCACTGTCCTTGAAGTTGATTGGTCCACACCCGAGACGGCTTTCTTTAGAGTCTAGTCCCCATTGGTGTTGGACCAGATGACACCAGAAGGCGTACAACTCAAACACAGTGCCATATCAGAGTATTGAGAGCTCGGGGTAAGCATTTACACTATGAGATCTCTTTTAAACAGTGGCAAAATATAGTCGTAGGTTTTTACCCTTTTAAACTGGTACAAAAGTAGTTGACTACACAAGTAGTTGACTACTTGTGTAGTGGTTATTGCAAAGATGATGCCTTGAATAAAGGTGTCAGTTTTGTACCAGTTTAAAAGGGTAAACACCTACTGCTATAGGCGTACTCAGCTCAAAGACAATGCCACTATCAGAGTAATGAGAGCTCGGGGTGAGCATCTACATCATTAGATCTACAGCAAGGGGTCGTCACTTGAACGGA